AGACAGGCGGGGATTGGCTAGGAGAAGCACAGGTGGGTGGAGTGTGAGGGGAGCATGCTTGGGATTGGATGAGGGACGGGCATGTGGGCGGAGAGAGCCTGGGATCGGATTGGGAGGGGGGCTGGGATCAGATGGGAGGGACAGGGGGTGGAGGGGAATGGGGAAGGCAGGGCCCAGGATCAGATGGGAAAGGCAGGTGGGTGAGGGGGGGTACAGCCTGGAAAGAGACGGGGGAAGGGCAGGTGGATGGCTGGGATGTGGGGATCAGAGGGGGGACTAGGGAGGTTAAAGCAGTCACAGGCCCTGCGGGGTCTGCGGCACAAAGCTCAGCAGAGCCCGCAGCAAAGCCGTCCAGCCGCTGCGCCCCGCTCCAGGGGAGCCCCAGCATGTAACCTGCGGGGGGGCTGCCACGGACAGGGGTGACTCCGGCCAGCTGGGGCAGCCCTTACCGGCCGTGTGCCCCGCAGGGCGGGCAGGGAGCTGCAAGGGTCAGGCTAACCTGTGCTATCCCTACGGGGGGCTGAGATCTGTGGGTGTCATTTGAATGAGCAGCAGCCCCTCCTCCCCCCTTTCTGATTCTGCCTCTTGGCCTCACTAGGAAGATCCCGCCAGCCGCTGACCCCCAGCAGCACCCGGCCCTGTCGCCCGCTGGCCCGGGCTCCTCCATGTCCAGGACTTCCCAGATGGGCAGCTCCTCGCAGGTGTGCAGCCTTCCCCACGGCGCCCCCGGGCGGACCTCCTTGTCTTGCACAGCCACAGCCGCCAGGGAGAGCCGGGGCCACCCCAGCCTGAGCTACACGGTGGGCTCCCCCCACGCCGCGGCCGCCTGCAGCCAGTCTGACTGCACGGGCGGGAGCCAGTCCATCACCTCCCCGCTCCCGGCCAACACCCCCTCGCCATCCTTCAGCAAGTTGCCTTCCACCAAGGCCAGCAAGTCCTCCAAAGCCAAGGAGACGGCGAATGGGGCGGAGCCGGAGGCCTTGGCCCGAAAGCGCAAGCAGCCTCTGGGGGCTGCGACTGGCCCCCCGTACAAACGGACCTGCCTCCTGGACCCGGGCAAGGGCAAGCTGGCTGGCTGCCACGTGCCCCACCCGCCTGCAAAGCCCAAACCCTCCCTGGGCTCCCCCTCCAGCACCTCCCTCAACGGCACCATCTTGCCAGGCTCCAGAGTCAAGCGGGCCGGCCACCTGGACTGCCGGGCTCCCGGCCACCCTCCGGTCAAAGCCTCCCAGCTGGAGAACCGGGGCTCCCCGCTGAACGGGCCAAAAGCGCTGCAGGCCAACTGCCTCTCGGAGGAGGAGGCCAAGAAGCGCAAGAACGCGGCCACCTACTGCCGGCCAGTGAAGGCCAAGCACCACGCCGCCGCCGACTCGGGCTGTGCTGTGCGCAGGAAGAAGGCCGTCGCCGCGCTGGGCTTCGAGGAGAAGCGGAACACACTCAAAGTACGTCCCCGTGCGCCCCGCAGCAGGCTGCCCTGCCCACCAAGAGAGCCCTGCCGCTCTGTCGTCCCCCTCGTTCCATAGCAGCTCTCATCCCACGGTCCCCCTCCTTGCCTGTGGCCCACTGCACCCTGGCGTGTAGGCAGCCTTCCCGCACGGGCCCTGCTGAGCTCCGGGGCGCTGAGCAGATGCGCACAGAATAGCTGCCAGGAGCCCCTGCTCTGCTCCTTGAAGCCCATTCAGCTGGCAGCTCGTCCCCAGGCCCCCAGGGGAGCTGTTGTGTGCACAGTGGTCTGTATTGCAAGCCCTCTGCGGAGGGCTCCTCCCCAGCAGGTGGTGCTGCCAGGAGTGGGCTGGGGGCAAACGGCTGCTGAGCAGGGTGGGGAGTCAGGCTAAGGACGGCCAGCAGGAGGTGCTGTGGGACTGAGGCAGAGGCCTTGCCTGGTGGCGCTCTCAGCACTGCAGGGAATGGTACTGGGGCGCGCTGACTGCTGGGAAGGGTGGGGGCTTCTGCTGACATGAGGCATATAGGTGAGGGCTGGCTCAAGGGCGAGACAGATTTGGGGGTCCAGAACGCTGTGGGGGGGGGGCCATGGACGAGCTGCCGAACTCTGCCAAGAAACAGTCCCTGTTCCCAGCCCCGCTCAGCACCTCAGTTTCCCCACCGGTAACACAAGCAGAACGACCTTGACCCGCTTTCTGGGGGCTATGAGCTTTCACCTGCTGTTCTGCTTTGAGAGGCGAAACGTCCCTGTTCTCAGCCGACCTGCTTTCTGGCTGTGTCAGTCATGGCTGGGGCCCACCCCCCCCCCCCAACGGATGTTTCTCCACGGATGTTTCTCCTCCTTGTGACTCCCATTAGGCCAGCAGGGTGGAGTCTATTCCCAGTAGCCTAGCAGGGCCAGCCTAGTGGGGGGAGGAAGGGGGCAAGGTCTGTTCCTATTTGACCTGCAAGGCCTGCCTAGCCACAGGGGGTGGGGGTATCTAGTCCCATTAGCCCTGCAGGGCCAGGCGGGTCACAGGAGAGTGTCCCACAGGATCAGTGCGGGAGCACTGTGAACGCCACTAGAGTCTCTTACCGTGGCCTGGCGAACCTTTTATTGCCCTCGCTGTGCACAAAGCCAGAGCCGCGCTGGATTCTCAGGGCCCAGGGCGATTCCGGGGGAGGCACGCTGGCTGTGACGTCGCAGATCTCCACCCGGGCCACGCAATGCCAATTCCATGCTTCCCTTCTCGGAAGGGCCCTGGCGCGGAGAGCGCTCATTCAGCTATTCAGATGCAAACAAGGGAGGTGCTGTTGTTGTAAGTAGACACCAATTAGACACAGCCCTTGAGCGCCTGACAAGTCACCCTCCTTCCCGAGCCCCTGCCGCGGAGGAGCATTGGCCCTCCACGCTTGTCTGCTCTGCTCCTTTGTCTCTGTGCTGACCCCCGTCCTCTTGTCTCCTTACAGTCGAAAGCGCATTAACAAGCAAGTGCCTGTGCGATGCAGACGGAGCCATCGGTCCTGAGGACTGGGAGGCCCTGGGTCAGATTCGGAGGCCGCTGCTTTTTATAACTTTATATTATTTTTTTTAAAAGAAAAAAACTCTATAAAAATACCTCAAGACTCTTTTCCTGTTCTGTTGCTGCTAAAAAACCTGAACGAACAAAATCCCAAGGGGGAAACCGTAGAGACGCAAACCCGACCCACACCTGGGAGGAGGTTGGAAGCGGATGGACTGGACCGAGGAGGCAGCCACACAGCCGGGCTGGGATATTTATAAGAATTATTATTGCTGTTTTTGTTTCTTTTTTAAAAAAAAGAAAAACCAGTATTGAAAGGGTGGTGTGGCCTGTGGCTTTCAGCTTGGGGCAGGGACAGGGACAGGTCCCACCTCATCCCAGAGGGTGAGGAAGCAGATGTTCCAACTGGCTACGTGGGGGGAGATGGATCCCTTGGCAGGCTGAGCCCTGGCATGCATTTTTTGTTGCAGGTTGCCCATTGCTGGCATGTAGGCGTTTCCCTTCTCCCAAAGCTGTGCTTGGTGGCACACGTGTGTGTGTTGGCCTGGAAGGGGGCTTGTCAGGAACATGCAGTGTTCACGCTAGTCCTTTAGTGCAACAGCTCAGGCTGCTCCGTGAAGCCTCCATTTTTCTGATGCCCTCTGCTGCTCATTGGATCTGGCCCAATCTCTACCTCAGTGCCCCTTCGTGTTCTCAGCCCGGGCAGCGACTAGCACCCAGTGAAGTGCGTGTGTGATGGAAAGAGAACGCCGCTCCCCGGGGACAGCCTCAACCCCACCCCGTGTTCTCATGTTACTCTCTGGCTTTGCTGGAGAAGCTTCGTACCTGACCGGCCGTAGGAGCCAGTCGTGGTCTGCCTGAGAGTCGTATCTGTGGCTTGGCCCAGCTCGTACTGGTCCAACCCCTCAACGCTGCTGTTATGAATTATTTGTAGCACTGTGCGAATGGTTCGAGGCCCTGGGGCATTGTACAAATCCATGGTCAGAGAAAGTCCTTGCCCCAACCTGGATTAGACCAAGGGCGGGAAGGAAACAGGCACAGAGGGGGTAAAAGCCCACGGTCCAGCTGCCTTTTCTTCCCCACTTCCAAGAAAGCTGGTTAGTATCCGATGTCACTGGATGGTGAGACCTGGAGGAAGGCTGAAGGACTGACTCCTTTCATTTGGCATTCCAAGGACAGCCTGTTGGGGGAGAGGCCTTTGGCTTTAAACAGGCTAGGGCTGTTCCTGGGAGGGGTGGCTCGGGCCTCGGGCTGACATCTGTACAGTGCTCAGCAATGGTCCATGACACGGGCCTGGAGGTGTGACTACAGTAATACCCGGCTCTTCTCGGCCCAAGCCAGGTCCCCTGTCTGCTGCTGGTTTGAGCTGTCATGTCCTCAGGCCCAGCTACTGGAGCCTCCCTGCTGCGTGCCTTGCCAGCCTCTCCCTGCTATGTTAAGCTACACATTGCAGTGTGGACACAGGGAGGGCAAAGAACATGTCTACCACCCTGTCAAGTTTCTAGGCCTGGCCCCGAAGCAGGGAGGTGCTGGAGTTTTCCAAAGAAGAGGGGACCAGAATTTTTTAAAGGGAGGAAAACAAGGTATTTTTCCACTAGCCTTCATCTCAAAAGCAGCTGGACTGTGTTGGCTGAAATCCCCCTTCACTCCCCCACAAAAAGAGAGCATGGTGCAGACACTCGGTGTGGAAAATTTCAGCCCAGTTGGTTAAAGTTTGGCAAAGTTGTAAGCGACTGAAAATAGGCTTTTATAATGCCAGTGTTCAGCAAGCTGGACGCTGGGCAGTGCTGGCTACGCTGCTGCGGGCTGGCCAAGGTGAGTGAGGAAAGGCCCTTTCCTAGGCCAGGAGGAGCCAGCGGAGCAGTACGGGCTGGCAGGCACACACGGCCGGGTTTTAGAAAAAGCCCTCAGCATCCATTGCTGGGAGGAAGGGGGGGTGTCAGTGACCAGTCCCCTCTTTGTGGAGATAACTCCAACCCCATTGTTCTTGCTAGCCACGGGCAGCAGAGCCCCTGCGGTCCATGGGGAAGGCTGAATTCATGCTGCCGGGGTGGGGGCCTGCATCTTAAACCCCTCTGGAGTTGCCTCTTTTGGGATCCTGGGCTGGCTGCCAGCTGGCACAGCAGGGGACCAGGCACGAGACAGACAACGGCCCAAAGGGGCGATGCGGCCTGGGCCTCCCAGGTAGGCTGCCTTCCTGGAAAACAGGCTGCATAGGGGCAAGCGCCCTGGGCCGTGGCCCATGAACCCAAAGGCAGGTGGCCCAGGGTCAGGGCTCCTGGGGGAGGAGAATTGGCTAATGGAAGGGAGAGGAGAAAGGGTACCACTACCCCCCCCCCCCCCCCACGACCCCCCACCCCCCACCCCCCCCCTACCC